CTAGAGCTTGTGATATAATAACTGAGAAATGTGGGGGAGTTTGATATATATTTAAGGGGAAGCTTTGCTGACTCTTAAAAAATCATTCTTAGGAAGAAATTCTTTCCCTTTCTCTCTGCAGTGTCATATCTGAATGCGATCCTGGCAGTTGCTGCAGCCATCTAGCCCCAAATCTAAGGTGAAACCAAAACATAAGTAAAATGGGGCCAAAAGAGGTGGAGAAAAAGAGTTGCAGCTCTGTCCTACCTTCTTATAATAGGAAAGAATGAATCTCATCATTTAAAAAGAATCATTCTAGGGCCTTCCCTGGTGGCGCAGCTGTTGAGCGCTGGGTTGCAAAGCTGCCCGCAGCCTCTGCAGCGCCAGTTCGATCCCCGGCTGCTCCCCGGCCACCGGAGAAGGGTCCCACATGGCGCGCAGACCTCTCCTGCCGCCCGCTGCTCCCCTCAGCAACGTACTTTGGTCCTTCTGTCTGCTCTGCTCCCCGTTCTGGCTCTGGTGAATTCTCTCACCCTCCCGCGCTTCTGACTGTACCCAGTGCGTGTATAAACAAAAACAAACAAACAAATAAATAAATAAAACATGCCTCTATTAAAAAAAATTTAAAAAAATATAAAAAGAATCATTCTAGGTTATATATTTTTGTTATTTGCATTTCAACACATATAAACCAGTCCACATAGCTTTGGTTTTTATTGAGCTGTTGCTCCTTGTCCTATGAATAAAAGCAATTCTACAGTTAGTCCCCTGTTGTGAGATGCTGAAGGACTCATTAAAAGGAGAGCAAGTATTCCATAATTATTTCCATGTATACCATAAAAGATGTGCTGAGGAAGTGCTTTACTTCCTCAGCTTACCTTTAACTTGTCCCTTTGTCTTTATGTAATCCCATTGGCTTTTACACATGGAGTGTTATTATCCATGTCCCTTGTTAGCAAAGGAAGTTAAACAAAAATGGTCTCCTATCGGGCCTCCCCTGGTGGCACAAAGGGCTAAGCACAGCACTATGAAGCTATCCACAGCCTCTGCAGCATGAGTTCAATCCCCAGCTGGCCTGGGAGCTACCCACATAGTGCATAAGACCTCTCCTGTCTTGCCTGCTGCTCCCTTAGCAGTGTATTTCAGTAGATATGCTTGTTCTGTCCCTCACTCTGTCTCTGGTGAATCCTCTTAACTCCCCACATCTCTGGCCTGTACTCAAGTTCTTGTATGCATAAATAAATAAATCTTGAAAAAATGGTGTCAAATCCAATAGTTCACCATCTCTTGATTACATATCCAGTTACAAATATTAATATAAGCCTTATATCTGACAAATATGCACCAAAAAATAAATTATATCCTATATTAATGTTTAAATGTGACATTTTGCGGGGACATAATAGAAGTCTCTATTTCATATTTCAGTTATTAGTAGAAAGGCATATTGCATAAAGGCAGGTAGAAATCAGACAAATATTGCAATCATCTATTGTGTTCCAGCCTGGCCTCCATGGATTTAGTCAAACAGTGCTAAATAGGAATAATAGGATTCCCACTGTCTCGAATTTATAGACTATTTGAGTAGTCAGAGTAATAAACAGGCAATAACAACACAATATGATAAATGCTCTTACATGGTGTGTGAAAATGCAAGAAGGCTATTTAACTCAGAATTAGGAAGGGGGTGGGAATGGGCAAGAAATGATTCCTTGAGTCTTAAAGATTGAATTGAACTTAAGTAGGCAAATAAGAAAAGAATATTTAGAGAACTGCATGTGCAGAGAACCAGAAAATGGGAAAAATGTGTCTTCAGGATGCTGAAAGTGGCTAAATTGAAGCAGGAATAATAAGGTCACAGATAGCATTGGAGGGGTACAGAGGGACCAGACTGTGAGGATCATTTTTAGGTTACACCAGGGTATTTGGACTGTTTTCTGAATGTAGCAGGGATTTATGTTTATATTTGATGAAAAGTATTCTGAATGCATGGTAGAGATCAAATTTGAAAGGAAGAGTAGAAGCAGTGATAGATGAGCTGCTGTAGATTGTCAAAGAGGTGAAAGGAAGGACCTGAATGTGGTAGAAAGGAAGAGAAGGCAGCAAGGATGATTCCTCCTTGAGGTGGGTGCAGGTGCCATCACAGAAGGGCTGTTCAAAGGAGCTGATTTGCAGGAGGACAGTGAGTGCAGCTGAGCCTGACTTGGGTCACTGATTGTGTGCACAGGTTTTAGAGTTTAGACATGAGTTTTAGTGATCTGATTAATGGGGCTGATAATATCTAACTTATAATGTCATGAGGACTGAATGAGATAAACCATAAAGCAATTAACACAGTGCTAAAAGGAGACATATATTGTTTTCATGTATGGTAAATTATTGTTAATGATGTTTTTCCTTCTGCTACTTTATTTCCTAACCTGTACTCTGAAATGATTAAAAAGAATATAGCATGTACTGAATATTTACTGTTTAGAAGGTACTCTCTAACACTGTGCAGATATTAAATCATTTATTCAGAAAAAGTCCATATAACAAGTGCTTTTATTATTTCCATTTTATAAATGTAAAGACTGGCATAAAGAGGTTATGTCACTTGGCCAAAGATTGTTCAGCTAGGGAGTGTTGAAGCATGGATTTGAATAAAGACATCGGACTCCTATTCCTGCATTTTATGTTTCAGAATATACCTTTGCTTAATATGCTTTTAATCAATCCATATTGTTGGTTAGATCACTTAAGAATTATTGGTCATCATTATTCATTCTTTTAAATACTACTACTATTTCTGAAATAGTATAGAAAACTCACATATCTTTTTCCAATTAATATTAGAAGATTCTTCTACTTCCTATCATAATGTCAAATCTACAGCTGATTGACTTTCATACATATAAATATAAACAAATTCCTGTTTAAGATTCATAACCAGTTATTTCCATATTCATTGACTTGTAAGTTTGAAAGAAACTCAAAATCTTCCTATTTTATTGCATACCAAATGTTGAATTTATCCTATCAAGTGGTTATTGTACCAAGACTTCTACAGCGTAGGTTACAGAAACATTCCCTCACAAATCACATCTCAGTGTTTGCAGCTATTACCAGTAACACTTTTCTATCAGTTTCTCCAGCACCTTAAAAACTACCTAGCTAATGCAAAATGCACTGTACTTTTTGTGAGATGCATGAATGATTATCAAAAACCCATATTCACTATTTTTAGTTTACTTTGTAGTTCAGCAAAGACAACCCAAAACTTCCTTAATTAAAAGTATGAGTATTTTATTCAAAAGGAAATAACCAAGGAAAACATAGGGAGATTTGGGGGAAAAAAGAATTGGAACTATTGGGAGTCTAAAAAGACTTCTATCTGCCCTGATTACAGAGGTAGGCAAGTTGGAGCTACTTCTTAACTGTGGATAATTGCCATTTCTGTCTTCTTGAAATATAAATTTAAACATTATTTTGAATTGGGAAAAAGCCAAAACCTTGGGCTGATGATCAGCATCAGGCTAAGGTAAACTCACCATTGAACAGAATTTTTATAATCCATCTGTGAAGAGAAACCTGTAGTTTACACAATGGGCCTTGCCAACTACGCACAGTGTTCCATTGTTTCCTATTGGATAATCCTGGCAGCACTATCTATAAAGAGAATCCAATACTAGGTAGTTTTCATTTAAATATTCTACATTATAACATGACTAATATAAAATTCAAATTTCCATTTCATAATACTCATTCCCAGATTTTATATATTTAAGTGCTACAAACGTATCAAAGATCATTTTGGCACTTCAACACAAATAGTTTTTTTATTTATCCTGGTGTCTGGATTCTAATTGAAAATGCCTCACCTGGCATGTTCAAAGATAAAATTGGTGCTCGGATTGGTTATGCAGGGTTGTGTTATTTCAGCTAAGTTATTCGTAGCATCTTCTGGTGATGAAGAATTTGTGATCGCTTAATGCTGGGCAGTGCGTGTCTAGGAATATGATTAGGAGTTGCCACCTGCTGTGCTGTGAGTCACCCACAAAGTGGGCCACAGGTGCTAAAATTTGCATTTCACAAAATTTGCTTCATCAACTTAATCCCTAAAATTTTCTATTCTACATAAAATACTAAAAAAAAGTCAGCAAATTTTTCTTCTGGTTTCCTTCATGTGGTGTAAATATTTTTTTTTTCTACTACCCCTATGTATTAGAGATGATAGAATTTCAGATGGAAGGAACCCTTTGATATATAATGTAAAATACTATTTCCTATTTATTTTTCCACTTTAGATTCAGAAAAAATAATGTCAGTATTCATATGTAAATTACACATTATCAGAAACATCAATCATGTTTCTTGGAAGGTAGCAAGGCATGAATTAGAGAGAACATGTGTAAGTTTAACTACTACTATCAAAAATGTGATGGGAAGTCCTAAGTCTGGAAATATTAAATGAACTTAGGCCTGACTTTTAAATTAAATTTTAGTATGTGTTTCAAACTCATGAAAAGAGGTGCACATCAGTTTTACATTAGGTGGCCTATCCTTTGCAGTGGGAATAGGGAACAGGCCAAGTTCTAGAGAGTTAGCAATCTTTTGGCCTCTTTTATATCAGCCTATCAGTCAGGGATTTTTTTCCTATGAAACAAAATATTTTTCATACTTCAACATAAAGCTTGGTAGGAAATTTTCCCCTGCAGAGATGGCTTCTTCAAAATTGGCTGAGGTTGACTTGCTAAATTAGAAGAAGATCTTTGAACCCTAGAAATTGTAAAAAGTGGTTATGGCTATGAAAATCATTTTTGAGAGATTAGAATTGTTTGATGACTTAATTAAGAAATATGCTACAGCTAAATCTCTTTGGAACATTTTAAAATGAGATCTTTCATCTTTTTGCATGTCTTTTCTCTTTGTATTGATGTGATTCCAACAAATGGAAATGGTTAATTGAATTGAGAAATAAGTATGTTTACTGGTAATTGCTTACTGTTTGAATTGTAATTACAATTTTATATTCTTTGTAGGATTATTTAACCATTCATAAGTATGGCAATGCAGCCAGAAATGATCTCTGGAATACACTATCAGAGGTAAAGTAATAGGAAGTTCAAATGCTGAAATCTTTTCCTACTATTTGAATTGAATTTCTAGAACATCTATAGCTTTTATTGACACTGACAGTTTAATTTTACTATTTTCAGTTCCCTTTCCCTTATATTGCTTTTTAATTATATTTTTGAAGAAAATGGGGTTTAAAATTATTTAAACTGCAAGTGGTAATAAAAGATACCTTGCCTACTTTCAAACACGACAATGCTTCTGAAATATAATTTAACATAGTATCTGATATTCATGATTACTTTTTTTATATAAGTGAGTAAAAAATACTTAAATACAATACTAGACATACTGGAGATACTTAATGATGCTGCAGGTAGGTACTTGCTTTAATAATAAAGTATGGGGCTTCCCCTCGTGGCGCAGGCAGTTGAGCGTAGCACTGTAAAGCTCTCTGCAGCCTCTGCAGCGCCAGTTCGATCCCAGCCAACAGGTGGGGATCCCACATGGCGCAGCAGACCTCTCCTGCCTCGCCCGCTGCTCTCCTCAGCCCCGTATTTCGTCAGTCTGCCTGTTCTGTTCCCTGCTCTGTCTCTGGTGAGTCCTCACCCTCCCGCGCATCTTGCCTGTACCCTGGTTCTTGTACAAATAAATAAATCTTTAAAAAAATAACAAAGTATGTACTATCTTCCATTAGATAAAATTTTAATGTTTATAAAGCTTTCATTTATATATACATACACACACATACACATATATGAAGCTTAACTTAAGGCAAGAAGATTAATTTTACTAACACATTGTATTAGCTCCACTGATTGTAAATCTTTTCATATTTAGGTAAATCATAAAGGTTAAAAATGAAAATGGTTTAGTGTTAATTATGTTTGTAATTCATGTTTATAAAACTAATTTATACAATTTTGGTTATAAAGGTTTTAAGAAGGAATGGAAAATATGTAAATATACAAGAAGTAATGGATCAGTGGACACTCCAGATGGGTTATCCTGTTATCACCATCTTGGGAAATACAACAGCGGAAAATAGAATCAAAATTACCCAACAACATTTTATTTATGACATCAGTGCTAAAACGAAAGCACTTGTACTTCAAAATAACAGGTATAGCAATTTTACTTATGTGAAAAATATTGATTTTACTTTTGTTTCACTTTGCATTTTTAACATTTAAAAAAGCATCGATCATACAATTCTGGAATGTAGTAAATGAAAAATAGTTTGTATTTTTTTCTTCAGTTTAATTCCTTATTCAATCCCACTTCCAGACACTTTAATTGCTAAGGTGATAGCACACCAGTTATTTTGTTTTGGAACACAGAATTTAAATGATCGTGATGATTTAAAGAATCAATTATGTGATTTTTTTTTACTTTTTCCTTTTAAGTGTTTGCTGAATTAAATTCAAGAAAATTAAGATACATTGAAATGAATTAAATGGAATTACCCAAATTGAAATTTATAAAACAAATGAGAATAGAAACTAACAATCCAGAAAGACTAATTAAAATGGACCAAAAAAAAATTCCACAACTAAATAGTGTGTGAACCAAGGAACTCAAATTAGAAACATTTTTAGATGGTCTAAGTATCAGTTTTAGTTAGTATCAAAATATGTTCACTTCCCCTGTTTTTAGTGTTTAAAGCCGTTAAATAGACAACATACTTTGAATTTTTATGTGTTGTAGTTTTAACTTTTTGGAAACACTTATTTAATTACTGATCATTCCATGTGTAGCATTCTTTTCTATTTCATGTTTTTTACTGTTTTGCATGTTATTATTACAGGCTGAGTTAAAGAAAGATAGAAATTCAATCAGTATAGTTTTTTATAAGGTGTCCTGATAAGAGGTTGGGAAGGGAAAATAGGCAGGAATGAAAGTTAAAATTAATAAACAAAATGAGGTGTTTGAATTAGGTTGGTCATGATGTTTCTGGTTAACTTGTAAAATTGGGAGTCTGATTTTATCATCCACCAGTGTCTAGGAAATCTGAGCACACTTTAAGTTTACTTTGTTATCTCTAAAAGGAATGGAAATCATTCCCAAGTAAACTTTCTCCAAGACTGGCTATAGGTAGAAGTCATTGAGAAAATCATGAATGCCTTTTGGTGAATAAATATGAGATCCAATTTAGGATGACATTGTTTTAAATCTCTCTCTATATATACATGTATGTGTGTATACACACATATACACACAAAATGATATAGTACAAAATTATATGTATACAGAACTTACTGCATGTATGCAAATATACAATGACATATACACATACATGTATATACACACAGGTGTGTTGGCTTTAACAACTGCCCTTTGTGATCCTGCTGTGTGAATCTGTGGAGTACAGTATTACCCTGCCACACTGACAGGGTTTTGCTCTCACTGCTTTCTCACTCAGCCTGGATTCCTCCCAAATGCTACCTCTAATAGTCCACCGTCTGACCCCAGGTGATACATGCATAGGCATCAACCCTGGCCTTGCCAGGAAGTACATAAAAACTATTTGACTGTGGTAAGGCTAGAGAGATTCAAGCCCTGCCTTTGAGAATGATCAGTCTGACACAAGCATCACGGATGCATGCAAACACAAAGGACACACAGATGACAGAACAAATTTTGAACAGTACTCTGTCAGCCTCTAACATGTATCAGATGTGTCAGCCATAAATCTGACTCTTCAAAGGAAGAATTTCTCCCAGATCTTATATTTAACATCTAACGATCCTTGCTTTTACTGAAGTTATATAATCATATGGATCATGTTGAACCCTGAGAACTTGGCATATAAAATATCAAGAGTAAGATGGATCATGGCTTTCGTAGTCTAAAAAAATATTTATTTTGAAATAATATGACGTGCAGTTGAAAATTTAGTATTTAATTTAATATTAGGGATCATTTAATTCACTATATGGTCAAACCTTCAATAGCAATTTTGTCTGTTCTTTGTATATATATATATATATATATATATAGTCTTCTTAGCTCTTCACTATTCAATAGACAGGTGAAATTAATGCATGTCTTTTCCAGAAATTTCTTAAATTGTGGATATTTTTCTAAGCCCCTGTAATTAACTCTTTGTCTCTACTTTTTGCTGGGGAAACAAGAACATCACTAAAAAATACCTAGAGCATTTTTAACATGCCAGTAATTTTATTTTTCATATGCATTAACCATATTGCATTATAGAAAGGAAATATTCTTACATTGATAATTGTATGAACTTAGCTGATATGCAAAAATGAGTGAATCAGTTTGCTATAATTTTGGTATTTGGAAAGTTGTGAATTTGTGTATTTTTTTTTATAAAGACAATGAATTGCAAAATTAAGCCAGGTCTCCTCATATTCTCATAGAACTTCTCAGAGTCCTCTATTACAAGGAATTATATTTATCTCCATAGTCATATTTTCCTTCTCTTATTAACTCAATGACAACAACCACTGAGCAGGATACTCACAACATCTACATTAATGGTTGGTCCATTTTTTGCAAAAGATTTCTCACTCAAACTAACATATGCACCTATTCTTTTCCATGCATATATCATCATTGGAATAAACATTATTGTGTTATTAAAAATGTTAACTAATAATGAAAAACGTTAATAGCCTCAGGGACTATTACAGAAAAGTTATCTGAGGAGTCTTTTGAAATACCATTTTTGGGTTTTGATTTTGGAATTTTTTTGTTTCAAATGAGATGACTAAAACTCAAGTCAGCCCTAAGTGACTGGGACAGTCTAATTTGATAAGTTCTTTTTCAGTCTCTTTTTAAACAGAAGTCACAGCAATCTTAGATTTCCTTACAGGAGACCAGCTAGAGCTCCTCACTAAGAGGCATTTTGTGTCTTCCAGCCCTTTAATTTATAATCATAAAACAACACAATTATCACGTTTTAACTTTAAAAATTTGTGAATAGTTAAAATATGTGTTACCTAGGTCAGTTTGAAAAACAATTTATACTGACTTTATACACAATTCAGAAATGAATACAAATTTCAATTGCGCTTGCTAATTTGTCATTTTTTATCTTTGTGCAAAAGCATTTTTAGGAAAACTACAGAATTTTATTTTAAAAATTTTACAAAATGATCAAATGTTTGTATTCAAATATCTTTTTAGTGGAAATTTAGTGGAAATTAGTGGAAATTTTAGTGGAAATTTTTTACATATGAATGGCTATGCAATACAATATCAGCCATTTAGAATTTTTTCTGTATATGCAAAATTGGCTATAAACACAATGCAGTTGTTGACTTGAATCTCTTTTATTTCATGGGCATTTGCTAAAACTTAGATCTCAAAGCTTACCAACTGTTATCATAATTTAATTATTTAGAAGACAATTTTAATACATGTAAAATTGTGTTTGTTTACATCAAGGACAAATAGAATTTCACAAACATTTATGACCATGCTACAAAAAAAAAACCCGCCAAATTCATCCTTGAGCACTTTTAACTATTCTCAATTTTAGATATGTCTAGCCCTTTAACTGATAGTTCTTTGACTTCAAAATTTAGTTGACCCAGCTCAGTGTGGAACATCTGTAGTAAAAAGCCAAGTTCATAAAGTTAATCTCTCTTACTTGTAGACTGATGTGTTCTCTTTTATTTATCTTCAATCTAATTCCAGTCAATTCATTTCAAGGGTAATTTATGTAATGCCTTCTCTTTCCAGTCTTTTGCAACATCTTAAGTACTCAAAAATGAGCTTACAGTTTGAGATTAAGATCCAGAGTCAGACATTGCTGTCTCTTCACTAATTATTCCAATTAATAGAAAAAGAGTCATCATTTTTATGAAATGATTGTAATAGAAATATATCAAGTTCCTCTGTCTTTCTCAGTAAATCCATCATTAAATTTGTATGGCATATTCTAACATTGTATAAAGTATTGGGGTTCTTTGTTAAAGAAGTTACTTGGGTTGTGTTCAATCACTTTTAACTTAAAAAATCTGTGTTTATCTACTGAAAGTTGTTTATTTCCTCATCAATTATGTGTAGTCTATTGCAGTATAAAACATGTCACCATACATGTTCCCTTAAAAATTATCATTCTTCATTTACTCTAATAGTTGTTAAACTCACAGTTTCCCTTTCTACATTTTAAAAAATATATGATATTTTTCACATGCTGGACTTTGTTAGTTACCCCTGTTGCTTACAGATTAAGTATCAGTGCTATCACCACTAAGTCCTGAGTTCAATCCCCAGCCAGGGAGCTAATCTACATATGGTGCAGCAGACCTCTCCTGCCTCACCTGCTGCTCCCCTCAGCAGTGTACTTCCATCAATATGCCTGTTCTGTTCCCCACTCTGTCTCTGGTGAATCCTCTCACCCCCACACCTCTGGCCGGCACCCCAGTTCTTATATACATAAATAAATCTTAAAAAATTAATTCTTAAAGATATTATATTCACTTCCTATATTGGAGGTAGAAGTTGATATAAAATTATGATTTTTTTTCAAGCTTCCATTTGGACATTTTACTATTGCTGAATTTTGTTTATTGTGAATGGATCAAATTCTACATGATAGATTTAGAGATACTCTCCCTTCCCATACCCCAAAAAAGCAGAGTCATCCTTTTAAGTTGTATAACACCAGACATGTTCCCTTAAAAATTATCATTCTTCATTTACTCTAATAGTAGTTAAACTCACAGTTTCCCTTTCTACATTTTAAAAAATATATGATTTTTTTGTTACATGCTGGACGTTGTTGGTTACCCCTGTTGCTAATGGTGCAATAAGTCAAAATAACCTGGCTTTATTTTGGGGAAAGAAAATTTAGTCATAAGATTTATTGTTAAGATCCACCAGCTTACCTCTGGCTACTCATTTGAGATTAAATTGCTATTATTGCAAGTACACGTATAGTCCCGGATTTTCTATAAAAATTCAAAATCTAAAAGGTGCTTTTCTTTAATTAATCATGACTTAGCTCTATACATTGGTGAATACTTTCACACATCAGTTTGGAAATTCCATTTCAGAAAATGGAGCATTAAGTGTGTCACACAGTGTTCCCTGTACAGTTGTTTATTTAAGGGGGGTCTGATTAGTTTAACTTTTTGTTTCTGCTTTGCTAAGTAGTTTTACCTGTGTTGCATTATCTTTTCTGTATTATGCTAATAGGGTTTACTTTAGGATAGTTACACAAATAATTAAAGAGTATGTTGGTATGTACATACCTGAGACTCCTGAAATGTGTATTAATCTAATATAGATACAAGAAGAGAGGAGTTTTTAGACTTTAATCAATATATGGTGTCGCTCAGATTTATAGATTTTGATAATTTTTATTCCCAACACAAAATACAAATCTGTTTTATTTTTTAAGATACATAGTTTTTTTTTTTTTTTTTGTATTTCCTCTTTTGTATTGAAATTAAAACTCTTGGAAGCCAAGTCTACTTCATGGCATTGAAAGAGTCAATTTATCTTCTTGACTTACTTCTTACTGTTAGGATAGGGGAATTTTTTCAGTTCCCCCAAAGAGAAAGAAGAATAAAAATCACAGAGAAAGTGCATAGGAAATGTCATTTGTTTGATATGACCATTTTTATCTTTAAAGCTTCTATTTTATTTTGCAGTTACCTGTGGCAGATTCCATTAACTATTGTGGTAGGAAATAGAAGCCATGTGTCTTCAGAAGCAATTATTTGGGTGTCTAACAAATCAGGTAAAATATATATTTGCCCCTGAGGAACTATTTGGTTTTAGGTAATTGTTCAGTAACTTAACCTCTGGTTTCAATTGTTTTAAAAATGTGAGTAAAGGAGATTTAAAAATGGAATATAGAGAAATGATAACTGCTACAAAATTAACTGTAACATAACAGTTTTTACATAGTTTTAGCCAGTCTATATAATTATTAAAAATGAATTATTTCTTTGCTAGTAAAGAGAAAATTTAAAAACAAGTAGTTGTACTAATTTTAATTGTTGTAAACTATCATTTTATAATTACAAATATAATTAAAATATAATCACAATTCCCAACAGAACAGTTTTCCAAATATTGAAATACAGGCCACATTTTCCTTGCATTTTCCTGTTATCTTTGCTTTACTACACTGACTTACTAAAGAATGCCTGATGCAGTATTCTCTATAGAATTAGATAATTACAGGGGCAGAAGGGGGGGGGCTGATAAGTCTTCAAACCCTCCCATAGGTAAGGTCAAACCTCAAGAATCAGAGAAAGATGAGACTCTATTCTATTTCTAACTATCTTCAAATAAGATAGTGACCTATTTCAATTCACTGTCAGAAAGCTATTTTTTGAATTCAATCTAAATCCTTCATGCTAGAATGTGAAGTAGATCTTTTATTTCTGTTTTCCATTGAATGAAGAAATTGTCAATTATCATCTTTTATGTAACATTGCATTTAGATTTAGATGGTCACATATGCCCACTTTCATTTTTCTCACTTTCTTATGTTAATTGATGTAACCTTGCAATTTCATTAGTTTCATTTAAAGTCATCACTTTTTTAAAAATAAGGTGACTATAAAATAAGGTGACTATAAATAAATAATAAATCCCCCCCCCAGCAGTCCTGTTATTATAAGGAAAATATAAAGGCTCAAAACACATACACACACACATAGAGGGAAAAATTCTCACAGTAGACTCTAATCTGAACCAGACATAAATATTTGTATTTCCAGTTGAATTTTTATTCAGATTTTCACCTTACTGTATTTTGAACACCTAATCAAATATCATGAAAATGCTTTCATTTATATACACTGTATATAAAACATGTAGTGTAGAGAAAAAGTGACATTTTTTATTTAAGTTTCTCCTTTTTAAAAATTTGTTTATTATAATCTATTCATCTTTTGGAGTTAGTATGTATACAATAATTCTGTATTCACACTGTCTTTAAACGTCTTACTTTCATGAAGTTATTTTGTTTATTTATATAATTTGTTATGAAACCAAGAGTGAAAGCAGTGAGTTGTTCAGGTACTGGTCCAACTATTAGACTGAAATCATTCCTGCTTAGGATTACTAGGAACATGAAACTTAACAGTTTCAGAAATAAAAACTTAACAGTTTCAGAAATAAAAACATTTCTCTTGGGAAGGTAGAGAAGATTTGGGAAAATTAAGAGAGGAAGCTGATCAAGGAAAGAAACTGAACAAACATCAGGAACAGTCCCCAGATGTACTTTTAGGAAGTGAAGGAATTCAGAACAATTGTCATTTCCTGGGATATATATTTCTTCTAACTTCCTAGTTATTTCCATACTGTTATTTCTGTACCTTCTTATTCCACAGAATATCCAAAAAGTCACCAATTTACTTAACCAATAGCCACAGGTTGTTGTATTTGAGAAGTTGTTTCCATTTATACAGTCTTATATTATGAACCAGGAATAAATTGAAACATATTTCAAAATACTTGTTTGCCTAAAATATCCCCTACCTTAACACAGATGGTTTTATACACAACTTCGTGGTTTGTGACATGCGTGAGTACAGGAGATACTATTTACATATACTGTGATATTTATGCCATATATACTCCCTTCCCCAAAAGTTGTGCAGTTAGTAACTGACAGAGTACAATGTGTTATTTTCCATTAAATGATAGCAGTGTCTTCTAAACATTGTCCCAGTTGAAATGTCAAGATTTGGGGGTAATACCCATATCAAGTAAATGTTTTTTGAAAATGTTATAAATACATAAATTTGAAAGACGTTTCCAAGAGGGACCTAAGAGATAGTCAACATTTCTGTTTTGGCTGTTCAGTCATTGTAACTTATTTAGTTTTGTCTTGAAGTCCTTTCATTCATTCATTCATTCATTCATTCATTCATTCATCATTCATTTATTTATACAAGCACTGGGTACAGTCAGAAGCGCGGGAGGGTGAGAGAATTCACCAGAGCCAGAGCAGGGAGCAGAGCAGGCAGAAGGACCGAAGTACACTGCTGAGGGGAGCAGCGGGCAGCAGGAGAGGTCTGCGCGCCATGTGGGACCCTCCTCCGGTGGCTGGGTAGCAGCCGGGAATCGAACCCGCGCTGCAGAGGCTGCAGGCAGCTTCCAGCGCTCAACCGCTGCGCCACAGGGGAGGCCCTTGAAGTCCTTCTTTCTGATGATGAATAAAAAGGTCATACCACACAAAAGTTACGAAAAGAAAGATTATTATCTCCTTTTATATGTTCTCTTTTTTAAAATGTTGACAAATAATCATTGATAAAGATGTTTCTCTATAAACACACACAGAAAATAATCTGTTCAATTCTCATCAACATGTAAAATAATAATTTTAATTTCAAATGAAATTTAATAATTTACATTATCAGTAATATAGATTTGACATCACAAGACACTGAAGCAAAGTCATTGGTGAATAATAAACAGTATTAATTTTATATTAATCATCACATACTCTTGACACCTCAGTTTTTAAAACCTTTAAATGAATATCTAATTCACTCCAAAATATGGCACTGCCAAAAATAAATACAGTCTTAGGTTACTGAAATGTAAGTAAAATTATTATTTTTACTACAAAAATACTGAGGCTGCAGGCACTGAGAGTATAATAGTTGCATGTTGACTGACTATTCAATCAATATGCAAAGGAAGGGAATAAATTTAATACCAAATGTTAGGAAAGAAAATATTCAAAATAAAAGAGAAATTGATCCTTAAAATTAGAAGTAAGCATTAACAGTCATAGCACAATGCTATAGTGCTTTTCTCAAATATTGGTTCATATGAAACACCCAGGTCTTTAAATTATTTTTATTTTCATTATAGAATTGAGGAAATTAAAGCTTGAGAAATAACTAGTCCAAAATGTCTTAAGAATTTGGTTTTCTAATCTAAATTGATTCCCTCTACCCCTGAATTGACACCCCCTTCCTGGCACCATAAACACTCTCTGTAGGTAGCTATAGGATCATGTACACAGCCCTTTAGAGAGTCTACAGAGTTTATCCTACTTGATTCTCATAAAAGTCCATTGAGAAACCCAGTGTGTTATCATACAGAGTTTGTTTCACATTGTACCTTTGTTACTCTGGTTAACTTACTGTTTGTTTTAAATTCTATTGTTCTATAACAATTTTGATTTGGAAACCCTAGTTTCCTTTCTCTTTTTATTTAAAAAAAAAGTAAAGCGTATTAAAACATAAAATCTTATAAAATGCCAATTAATTTGTGCCTTCATGGAGTCTAAGTCTTGCCCCATTTTGATACATTCAAAATATGATTTTTAATTGTTATTGCTAACACTTGAAATATAACTTCCATACTTTTTATTATGGTACTCATTACATACTGTACCTCATTAGGATATTGGAAAAGATCTCTTTAAAATTCATTGCTTGCCATTAGTTAATTTGAAGAAACTTTTAGAGATATAATTAACTAGAATGAAAAAGATATTTAAAAATCTATTATAAACCCTTTCAGGGAATCATTTCTCCAAAGATCTCATTTATAACAAAGACATAAAAATATTCAGGAACAGTAATAACCTTCAGGTTTTAGTTATCAACTTAATAATAGCATACTTAAAAACAAGAGATTGCTGTTTTTCTTCTTTTCACATGACTTGGAAGGTGTAGGGGTTATTTTCTTGTAATTTGTTTCTGTTCTACCTATTAGTTGTTGAATAAGTTTAAAAACTAGTTCCAAGTGTATTACATGAGGATGGATTATGCCAGTTATCTAAAATGTAACTTTAAAAAGTACATTTATTGGGCCTCCCTGGTGGCGCTGGGTTAAGACACAACCTATGAAGCTGTCCACAGCCTCTGCAGCAGGGGTTTGATTCCCCAGCCGGCCAGGGAGCAACCCACATGGCCCAACAGACCTCTCCTGACTCGTTTGCTGCTCCCCAAAAGAGTGTATTTCAATCAACTCACCTGTTCTGCTCTTATTCTGTCTCTGGTGAATTCTCTCACCCCACCCCCACCTCTGGCCTGTGCCCCAGCTCTTGTATGCATAAATAAATCTTTTAAAAAAGTACATTTATTATAGAAATCATGGTCATTTTAAAATTGTAAAATTTTGAGCCATGTGTTTGTGTATTAATCTTGAAGTTTTAACATTATAATTTTTTAAAAATTATTAAAATTAAGTGAAAGTGATCAAAATTGCTCTTAACCCAAGTGAATCTAGTCAGTTTAAATATATTTCATCATCCAAATCTTAGTATACTTGAAGATCGAATTACTTGAGGAAATAGTATCCTCAATAATTCAATTTTAATTTTTCTTCACTAAATTCAGACATGATTTATTAAAAATCTGAGTTATTTTAGTTTTTTTAAATGTCATATTTTCTTGTTAATAGCTTTTTATTACTATGCCTGTGAAATGGGCTGACATTCTAAAGTTCCATAGATATTATGTGTCTAAATATTGAATTTTTGAGAAATATGCAAATATAAAATATTAATAATGTGAAAAATCATTATTTCATAATTTTAGAACAATTTTTCCTAAGTACCATAGATTAAGCTTGGTAGAATCTCAAACTTATAATAACTGTCCTTTTCCCATTGAATCATAGAATAGTAAGTATATAAATGACATTATTTGACTCAGGATATTGATAAGGTAATTGAAAGCCAAAAATAATCAATGACCTAAGTTCAGACATTTACTTTTAGGAGAACTGGAACAAAATCCAACTTTTTGCTCCTATTATACTTTTTGTTCCAAGGTGATTTTCCCCCTTTTTAAATCAACATAATAATTTGAGAATTAAATCTGATAATACAGTAAAAGTGTTATATCATCTTGTACCAATAGAGTATCACATAATAAAAATGACACGAGTCAGGAGACTTGAGAAAGAACATTTCCAGCTTCCTTGGACAATTTTATTAACCTGGATAAGACTCAATTCTTTTTATGTTCCAAAAGATACTATTTATAAAGGTGGCAGGTAGTTGAAGCGCCATTTGAAACAATAATAATTAGATTTTTATGTTCAGTATGCATTTATATTTTTTTACTATACATTTTTGAAAATTGGTAATAGGTAATTTGTATTGAAATAGCCCACCCCATTCCACACCTGAGCAATTAATGGTTATTAATGTTCACTCACTTGGGTTTGTTGTACAACCTCTTCCTATGTGGGTTCTACTTGAGAGAGAGTACTCTGTAAATATGGTGTTCAAAAATAAAAAACATTTTGTGGTCTTATGTGTGACAAACCTTTATAATAGCATGAGGAACGAGAGGTTGTGCCTCTTATTCTAAACTGACACAAATGGTTTGTGTGATACATTTACTGATTTTGAATCACTGGAAATAATACAGAGCAGTGTGGGGTTTTTATGCTCCTGGATGTGTGTGTGTGTGTGTGTGTATGTGTATAAGTATACATTTAATTATGCAGCTTCTATGAAGCATGAGTCCTAAAGACATCAATAACAAAATCATTAGACTTGTGAACTCTAGTTCTGTGATGTCAGTAAAGATTGAAATTGAAAGTTGGAAGGAGTTATTTATCTTTACCATTTTCAAAGGAATTAAATATGTGTCATACCATTGCTTTTACTAGCTTCTTTTAATTGAATTAGCTCATGAACATAATCAAGTTACACTTTCCAAAGTGATTCCAATAAGCAAAATTTATTAACTTTGTTCTAATTATACGTAGAAATATTAGAGTCTTAAACAAATGAGGTTCCTTTTCTTAGCATTATTGATGATACTGGAAAGTCTTTTATTTTATTAGTACTTCCAAGAAAGCACAAGAAGGACCTCCCCTGGTGGCGCAGTGGTTGAGCGCTGGGTTGGGAAGCTGCCAGCAGCCTCTGCAGTGCCGGTTCAATCCCGGGCCACTGGCAAGGGTCCCACATGGCGTGCAGACCTCTCCTGCCACCCGCTGCTCCCCTCAGCAGTGTACTTCAGTCCTTCTGCCTGTTCTGTTCCCTGGTCTGGCTCTGGTGAATTCTCTCACCCTCCCGCGCTTCTGACTGTACCCAGTGCTTGTATGAATAAATAAATAAATCTTTTTTTTTTAAAGAAAGAACAAGAAAAAGAAACAAGAAACAAAAATGACTTTCAAATAAATGAGACCTATTGTTTTAATCACTTTCTTGCTGAATAAAATAAATAGAATATGTGCCCAAAATCTTTTCTCTTATTCTAGCCACATAACCACATACAATCTAATTAGAAGCCACATGAATACAGTAGTTGATTTCTTGGTTACATTTAACTTGAGAGAGAAAATTAGATAATGGAGTTTTATCGAGAACAAAATGTTAATTATAAGAAACAATTTATTGAGGTAATAATGGATAACCAGCTAAAGGTTTTCTATGAATTTTAGATATAGTGATTTAATCAATTAAAGAGTAGATCTTAATTAAGTATTTAGAATGGCATTCTCTTTTAATCATTGTACTGTAATATCTTGTATCAGAAACATACATCATGCTCTTTTAACCCTTAAAATTTAAAATCTATATCTGCCCCCTTCCCCAAAATGCTTTTTTCAGAACACCACAGAATAACTTCTTTGGACAAAGGAAGCTGGTTGTTGGGAAACATCAATCAAACTGGTTACTTTAGAGTCAACTATGATTTAAGGAATTGGAGATTATTAATTGACCAGTTAATCCGGAACCATGAGGTAAACTGGACTCACTTATCAAAGAACTGTCTTGATATTTGAATACTTGCCATTTTAACCCTAAGTGCTTTAATTTTTTTTCTGGTTGACCACGTAGGTTCTCACTGTCAGTAACAGAGCTGGTCTGATCGATGATGCCTTCAGCCTAGCCAGGTATGTTTCTGTGAATCTCCACCACAAAACTCGTACAGATTTTCTTCATTTAAATAGGACATATGTTTTTAATAATCAATCTTTTTTAAAACCATTTTTATCTCTCATTCTTTATGTTTGAATGTGAATTATAATCTGTGTCCTAACGTCTTGATCAATAGTAGCCATGGGGTATTTCTGACTCTGGAGAAGCTTGATCAATTTTCGTTGCAAGTTCAATTTAACACACTGGAGATTAATAACCTCTTCCCAATTTCATTTATTCACTCTTAAAAAGTGACCATTGTGTCATATTTAATTTTTGATGGAAAATACCTTCAAGACTCGGCAAGTTTATCATGCTGACATATACTAGTATATCTTTTTTTAATGTTTAATTTATGTGATTTATTATGAAAAGCTTATGCTGCAGGACAACAACAAAGATTGCATAAGGTAAAGCTGTCCAGGACAAAAATGTATATCAATCTTGTAGCCAAAGTCTTTAGTTGTACTACTTATAGTAATATTTGTATTATCCTCATAATTAGAATTATAAAGTTAAATTCAGTTATTCCTTTGAAAAGTCATTAAATGAAAGGCTGTTGATCATAAATCTGTTTTTCAGTGTTGTGACTAAATAGCAAAATAGACCCAGTCCTTTAAATATTTGTAATGTTTCATTTCTAAGTACAGTTTTAAATAATCTGGTTAATCTCTTGCTTGTAATGATTCACCACATTTTCTCCTCTGATATGGGGTGAAACTAATTATGTCTGTATTGATACAAATAGACAACTTGTCTTAGTAATAAGCATTGTTTCTTATATAGGGTCTGGAACTGCTTTTACAATTTGTGTATTCAATTGAATTTCAACTGTCTTCCACTTATTAAAAATGATGTTACACCTTCTAGCATTCTAATCATCAAAACTTACTAGCTTAAATAAAGAATACTTGCTAATTATTGTTAGGATAATGAAGAGTAGGATCAGGTTACACAGGTTGGTTTTTGTAAAAAGAAGTTATATACAGGGATAAAGTAAAGAAGGAATTTCAGATGATTCTGTATTTAAAGAAGTCTCACTTTGTCCTCATGTTGTTATTAAAGGGGTCAAGAACTGTCCTTAAATTTTCTCTTAATGAGTAATGTAGTAACACGGCCTCATTCTGATCTGGCATGTAGAGTTTCAGGTACAACATTGCCAACTCAAATGAATGGGAAATGTAAAGACAATACATTAGGAAGAAGATTCCTAACAGAATTTTAATGAGAGCTAGGGTTCACGTCTAGCAAAAAATAAATGTGGATTCTTCCATCACACGGTGCCATGTTATTGGGCAAAATCTTAGAAGAAATAGAGGAAGATGTGTGGAGATAGTGATATGGGGAATAGTCAATAAGATGTAACTTTTGCTTTTAACAGTAAGATATAAAGACTTTGAATAAATTGTTTAAGTGTGTCATGAAGATTATTTTGACATAGAAGCTTAGAAAGTGCAGAAAGCCAGTAAAAGAATATGTGTGATGTAATATTGCACTGAGAGAAACAGAAAAGAAAGAGATGCTGAGTTCCACAGGGAAAAGCTAGGAAGCTAGAAGGGACTAATATCAGCAATTAAGAATAACAAACTCTTATAGGTTCTGTTAGACACTGTTCTCTTTTACATGTAATAATTTGTTTCATTCTCACAACTGGCATGTGAAATATGTCGACATGTATTATTATTATTATTATTATTATTATTATTATTTGTATTTTATGGGTAAGGAAATGGAAGCCTAGAGAGGTCAAGTAACTTGCCTAAAGTCACAGAGATAGTAATTGACAGGATTGGGCTTCACCATGTGGTCTGGATGCAGAGTCCAGGCTGTTAAATATATGTTTATGTAACTGTACACACATACACATACATGCATACTTATATCTATATACAGCAAAATAAATATATTTTAATAAATGAGTCAGTAAATACAGAAAGACTGAAGGGATTTGAAATAGTAGTTTGTGTGAATCCTTGTAAGTTTGAAATGATGAGAAAGTAAATAAAAAATAATGTCCTAAAGACAGAGGACAGATGGCAATTGAAAGAAAGGGATCTTTTGATCATCTGTGTTGAATGACAGAAGTTACTTTTAAATTAAATATTTAGGATGACTGTTTTTTTTCCCCCAAATTAAATTCCTATCTACTAGACAGAGCATTGCTTTCAATTATAATTTTGGAAGTGTTAAAAGTTTGAAGTAAACAATTTCATTGTCATTTATACAAATTTACCAAGAACATATGCAAATCTCATTGACTATATTTTGAAATTTGTTTTAATAATCATGAGATAATTTCCCTGTTAGTATGCAAGTGAAGGAATACAAAATGAGATTTATTCAGACAAATGCTTTGCATTGTAATTAAGGGTTATTCATATTTCATTGTATTCCAGTGAATATTTCCTAGTTTTGCTAACAATCTACATCAACCTTCTTTCAGCTTCCTGAACATATTATGCTCTTGTTAGGTTCTTTAAAGAAAACAAGTAGAAGAGTAGTAAATATTTACTAAAATGTATATTTCAGGTGCTACTGAAACTTTTGTGAATGGTCTTGTTCAATTTTGTAATAAACCTATGGAGTGGGTATAATTATAGTTATTTTATATTTGAGACATGGGGGTTAAGAGGAGTTAAGTCCCTTAGTTAAGAGCACACAGCTTTTAAGTGAGAGATGGGGATTGGGTCAACCACAAACATGTTCATAGCAGAGTTCATGACCTCAAGGCAGAGTGACTGCCCATTACATGCAAGTCTTTCCCATCTTTCTTTTCTGGTGATAATTATGATATTCACTTAAAAAATATTTTAATTACACTCCTTGTCCTCCCCAGCAAGGATTAGGTTACATCTTGTGGACCTGTGTTATAGCAGTTTGTCTTGTAACTCAACCATTTACTTTCCTGGTACGCAATGATTCTTGGATAATCTTTAAGACAAGGCTTTTGTCACATTCTTGTATTGCTACCTCCTATCTTAATTTCTGGTACAGGATTTTGCCAATATTTATTTGTTACATGAATTGATAATGATTTGTTATTCAAACTATAAATTTCATGACCCTATTTATGCAGATAAATACACATATCCTGGTTGTTATTTTTACAGTTATTTTAAGACATATATGTACCAAATGAATGAACTCTAATTGTACACGAATATACCAAAAGAGAAATAAAATGTGCAAAATTCCCTTACTCCCTTCCATTCCTTGCCATTATGTTTACTCTTCACAAAAGTAAAATTATTATTAGTACTTGGTGGTATATTTGACCTAGATACATTTTTGTTAATTTACAATTTAATTTTTTTTGAATGAACAGCAATTCATTCTGATATCTAAGTCATTTATTAAAATAAATCAGAGGAGCTTTTTCCTTTCAGACTTTCTGATTTTTCACTGTTATAACCAAGACTTTAGGGGGTATCCTTCAACAGTCTTTCATTGTGTATGTATGTGTTCTTATAGGGTTGATTCCTATAATTGGAATTTTTGGTTCAAAAGGAATGAAATTTTTGAAAATATTACAAATTGTCTTCCAAAGTTTTCCCCAGTATAAGCTTTCATCTACTATGTGAGAACATCTAAGTCCCTCCAAGTTTTCCATAATGAAGAATAGAACATTTAAAAATTTTTTGACAGTTGGATAGCAAAAATAGCTTTTCAAAATGTGTTGCAATACTAGTTAAAATAGCCCTTGTATCTTCTCATATATATTTGCTATTTGTGTACTTAGTCTTCTGTGAATTTTTACCTGGTGGAAGATGGACAAAGTATCATTCCTATTATATTTTCTGAGATCTCTTGGCTATTTTAGAATAGTAATTCTTTTTGCAGTATGTATTTTTACAGTATTATCTCTCAATACTATATCAGTTTTTTTTTTAACTATGTGGTACATTTCATCATTCAAAAATTTTGATTTTTTATGTCAAGTCATACTTCTGTAATTTTCTGGTTCTCTGTCACACAGAAGGTCACCATGTGAAGACTAAAAATGCTCCATTTTTTATAATGCTGTTTTGCTTTTACATCTATCTCAATCTTCTTTAAATTTTATATATAGAATGGAGTAGAGCCTAATTGTATTTAAAATGAATATCTTTATAACTAGTCAAAAATCCTACTCATTTAAGGGACTTTCCTTGTTCATAGATTTGAAATTGTATCTATCTGAATGTATATGCTTATGTTTTAGAGTTGATTAGATTCTGGTTAATATGTGTCTTTGTTCCTTTCTGTAATGATTCCATGTGGCTCTAAGTAGTTTAGTTTTGTAGCTTGTGGTGGTTGATGAAATATTTTTTTTTTGTTCTTGTTGAAACTCATATATATTTTCTCTTCAATATCAGTTCGACAAAGCCCTTTAAAAAATGCCACTGTGGTTATGATTGATGTCCATTGGATTTATAAATTAATTTTAAAGTATTAACACCTGTTCAAATGTAAGCTTTCCATACCAAAACATTATTTCTCCCCATTTGTTCAGGTTCCTAAGTCAAGGTCTATGATTTTATGTACATGGGTTCTGGTAATGATATTATTTTCTTTATATTTTTATGATACATGCTTTTATAAGAAATGGCACTGCTTCTGTTCTTACATACCCTAATTTTCATTGCATGTTATTAAGGACTAAATTACCTTGCAAATGTCCTTGTGTTATTACTTGATCTATGAGATAATTGATTAAAATGACTACATTTTTTTTGTTGGGTATTCATGTTTGTTTTCGGTTTTGTTTCCTTAATTGATGAAGCATTGTTAGTTTCGGAGATCGGAAAATGAACACTATACAGTCCTTGGTTTCAATTAATTCATAATATAGCAGGAGTGATACAAAGTAGACAATTAACTATGTTTAGTAATAAGTTATATGAATAAAATATTATGAAAACGTTGAGATATAAAGAATTAATGAGGCCAAGGAAGATTATAAAGAACATAATATAGGAAATAGCATTAGAAAAAA